GTCGAGCCGATTCGCAGTGTACCCCGGCGGCGGGTCGTTCCGTCCATTTAGAAACGGGTGCAGCGCATTGATATCTGCGATGGACATAATGTCGACCTTGTCCGCGCGGCACAGGCGCAGGTACTCGGCATAGCTCAGGTGGCGATGCTTGGCGTACATGGCAATCGGGCCAAGGGTCAGCGGCGTATCCGTCTTCATTTTGCCGAAAAAGCCTGTGCACGTCGACGTGGGAAGGCAAAAGATGACGGAGTTGACGTCACCATAGCACGTGACATGGGTCCCGTCGATATGCAACCGGTGGTGGTTTGCGATCGCTTGGCGGAGATCGACCATGACGGATGACCATCCATTCGCAAGGGCCAACCGTTTGTCCGATTGTGTCGATGGTGCGGACGGCACACGTTGATACGGTGCACGAATCGTCGAGATGGTATTGCTACCGCTCTTGGTGGTGCCTTCAGTCGGCACGGTTTGGAAGGGAACGATCGCGGCGCCAAATTCTTCTGGAGATAGACAAGTCCCTGGTGCGTTCTGACCTGACTCTGAAACGATGTGGAATGGCCGTGGCGGTTGCGATGCGAGGAGAGGAGGTGCCGTGACTTCTTCGACAGGTACAACGATCTCTCGAAGGTCCTGGCGAATTCAATCCGTGATGACCAGGATGAACACGCGAAGCATGGAAGACATACGGAGGGGTTCATCATCTGAAGGACTTCTTCCTTCGAGAGGAGGTCGACATCACCGTCGTCGAACTTGGCTTCATAGTACAACACGCCTTGGAGGATGACTGCCTTGGACAACCTCAATGTGTACACCTGGTTCGAATCGTACGTGTTCTGGAGCGCCACGCCAAGGAACGGGTCCACTGCATGCTCTAGCACTTCGGCAAATGACACTTCAGATGGTGGACATTTGTTTGGGTCGGTCCATTCGATCGCGCACATGTCGCTGATTGCGTTCGACGAGAATTGAGGTAGAATCTCAGACTTGGGGTCTAACGACCGGATGATGCCAGTGCCGCGGTCCCTCAAAGTTACGTTTACACCTACACAGTCAGTTGGGCGATCCTGCGTGGAACCGAGGAATACCATCGAGTTGTTTCCGCTTAGCTCGGAGTGCTTGTTCCACTGTCACAAGGACCGTTCGTGTCGAGCCCAACAACTTCAGTCTGTACATGGCCGCGTCTGGAGAGGATGCCACAAGGACACCATGGACACCTCCAACCGACATTTGCATTCCAATCAGGCAGTCGTACCACGGAGGATTCCCGGCGTCGCGGCCGGATTCCCCTATGTTGGACAGATCTGTTGAATTTGAATATACCGGTTGCGCATCACGTTTATCCGGATATACTCTATTGGCGAAAAACTGGACAGGAATCACTCGAGGCGCAGATCCCAGCATCATGTGGAAGCCTGGAACGAAAGCACCGCCGCCGCGGGGCTCCGTCCTGCCGAAAAAGGTGGACGCGGCACCTGTGAAGATGGCCATGGATGGCGCACCCAAGGCGCCGAAGCCTGCGCTCTCGCACAAGACGCTCGCTATGAAGGTACGTCTCGTGTGGCTTGTTAGTCCAGCGTCGCATCGAGCAATGCGTGAATGTGGTCCTTGCTGCTCTAGTTCATGCAGAGGAAGAACCAAGCAGCCTTGACCAAGGCTGAGGTCCAGCAAGACGAGTGGGCTGATGCGAAGGAGGACGGGGAATCGTCGGGGTGAGTCGAATTGACCAACGATGTCTGCAACATAGACACCACATGACCATGTCACAGGGAACTAACGTGTATTCGAGACTTGCCCGACCCGTCCATGGACAAAAAACTTGGACGGAGGTCATTCGGCGGATTCAACGGAAGCATTGAGGTACAACGAGGGGACAATGACGGAGATGCTTGAATAAGTGGGCGTAGGACGTGCACAAGGTGCTCAAGTCGAATAAGCGCTTTGAAGAAGCGAACGACCGGGCTCTCAAGGACGAAGTGTCCGCAGAAGAGATGGCAGACAGGTACGTCACTGCGGACAAGGTCCAGAGGATGTGTTGACGATGTGGTCCAGAATGGTGAAGTATGCAGGGCTCCGAAAAGGCCCGGGTAACAACAACAACCGGCCTCCCAAGCGGCAGAGGAAGTAGAAAGTCGGATGTCTCGCATGCGAACACCCAGTCGGTGCCGTGGATGCGCGGCATGATCGACGGCGAGCTCGCGCCGTCCAAGCTCCTCCGATCTGTGGAATACTCCACAGCTTCAACAATTCCTGCTGCATTAGAAGTTCAAAAATCCTTGAATTGATTGGATTGATCCATATCAATTCGGGAAATTTTCAAATTTTATTAACAATGGATTGATCAAAAAAAATGGGTATTTCTCAAGATCGTCCACCGAGTGGCATTATTTCTCACGATCGTCCAAGTTGAACGTACGCGAGGTATTTTAATTCGAAATCGTCTATCGCGGCATGATTGGCTAAAAATCACCTGAGCCGGAGGTCGCGACAGTCTGGCATGGTGGACCAGGTGTACATCAAAAGTCGCTAGGTCATATCGCTCGGTGGTTGGCGCGCTTGGTGTGGCGTCGTGGACGGCGGATGCGGTCGGTAATTGCAGGGGGACGCTGAAATTCTCGAAGGAGACGACGAAAATCGACCTGGCACTGACGTCCAACGGTTTTAAGCTTGTTAGACTTTTAGCCAATCATGCCTTGATGGACGATTTCGAATTAAAATACCTCGTGTACGTTTGAACTTGGACGATCGTGAGAAATATTTCCACTCGTTGGACGATCTTGAGAATTGCCTCTCAAACAATTTGGAAATTTCTTGATTTCTATCGATTCCATGGCATGTAAGGAGAACATTAAAACTTGGAAAGTGAAAGAGTCGTCAACACGTCAATCGCATAACCTGCACTCGCAACTGGACATGGTCTGTGGCACGGTAATGTTTCCAAGGTGGTGAATCAAATCACCGGCCGCGTCGAATCACCGGCCAGTTGCCTAGGCCAATCAAAACTCTCCGAAGCGTATCATTGGACAAAAGTATTTCCTGCTTCAAATTATACCTGACATACTCAATAAATAGAATGTGAGAGTACTTTTTTGCCGCGCATACAGATTGATATGGCGGGACAAGCATACACGCCAGAGGACCTCAGCGCCGCCGTTGCCGAAGCTATTCATGTTGAGAACAAAGCAAGCATCAACTCGATTGCCCGTGATCGAGGCATTCCTCCGTCAACACTCAAGGACGCCGTAAAGAGAACCAAGCTTGGTGTTGCCCTCAAGAAACCCGGGAGAAAGCTGTTGCTTGGCGAAGCCATTGAATCCGATATGGAAGATTGGCTACGGGGCATGCAAGCAAGGAATCATCCTATTACGCCACAAGAATGTATCGACGTAGCCACTGACATCTTGTGTCAGGACAATCCGGCCTCGCAAGTGTCAAGAGGT